CCTAGCGCCGCACTGAGTTCTACCCCTTCCTTTTTAAAAAAAATTTGAGACAGGATCTCGCTACATTGCCCAGGCGGGACTTGTATTTTTAATCCTCCTGCCTCAACCTCTCAGAGTGCTGGGATTACAGGCTTGTGCCACCACGTCCTCCCACAGCCTGCTCTTTATCCTTCCTCCCATTTCGAGTCATTCTCTTTGCTGGTTGAAGCTTCAAGGATCTGGTCCCAGTGAGCGTCTGAGGTCTCCACGCCCTCCTGGGTTTAGCTTCTGGAAGCCCTGTTCTTATAGGGACGATCTTTGCTAGACCTCCTCTTACCCGCTCTAGCCTTTTTAGACGATCCCTGGCTTCCCTCTGCTGTCTTTGTAGACGCCCCCTAATGTCCCGTGAGCCTCTGGGAGCCTTTCCGGTTCCGCCGATGCAGTCCTACGCTGTCTGGGCCCTCGGGGATTTGCAGACGTTCCCTAGAGCCTGAGTCCTCTCGGTGTCCCTTCCCCCGGCCGCGGGTCCAAGGTGTTCTAGCCCGCCGCCCCTTCCCCTCCTGCGGGTTTATGAATAACAGGGCTGAGCCGAAGGCCGAGATCCGCCACGTCTCGGGATCCTTGCCCAGGCTGGGGGTTGGGAGGCAAGACCTCGACGGGTTGGTGCAAAGGTCCCAGGTCTGAGGTCCGCATCAGCTGCGAGCCGCCTTGACCTTGAGCCCCGCAACGGCGGGGCGGGGAGGGAGGACCCGGTTCCCTGGGCCTTGCAGCTCCGGCTCACTCTCCCGGGAGGACCAGGAGGTGGCCTGCAGGGCCAAGGTCTCCAGGGCCTGCTTCGTGGGCCTGTGACCTGTATGGTCGAGCTGGGCTCTGCTTGGTTTCTTGATTTGCAGTCACCATTTTGAGATTTTTAGTAACGTTCAAACAAACGCCCGTATTTTCATCTGCTGGACTCCATTAGTTATTTAATAGGCAGTTCTAATACCAACATTTATTGAGACTGTAGAATCCATGGTTGCAGGCAATCTGGAAACATTAAAAAACTCATTTTAGAGCTGGGGATTTAGCTCAGTGGCACCCCGCCTTTCTTGCAAGCTGAAGGTCCTGAGTTCGATCTCCAGTACCGAACAAACAAACAACTGATTTAGCCTGGTGTTGTGGCCCACGGCTGTGATGGCAGTACTTGAGAGGCTAAGACAAGACCGCGGAGTTCGAGGTCAGCCTGAGCTACATAGTAATTTCAAACGCAGCCTGAACTGCATAGGGAGACCCTGTCTAAAAACAGAAAAACTGATCTTTACTTCTTTTTTGTCCCTTAAGTTCAGTTATTCAAATTCTATAGATTTCTAAAGCTGATTATTTGAAGTTATTTTTAGTCATACATTTTCCTCATTTCATTCCTTTCCCCAGATCGATCTGCTGAAGTACTCTGCTGGAGCAGCAATTAGTTCTTAAGAACCCCTTAGTGGCCCACCATTGTTTCAAATAGATAAACTTCCCAACCTAGTTTTTTCTCCTTTTGTTTTTTTTTTTTTTTTTTTGTACCGGGATTTGATCTAACTTGGGCCCTTGCAGTTGCAAGGCAGGCAGCGGAACCACTAAACCAAATCCCCAACCCTTTTTCTCCTTTTTAAAAATTTTATTTCTGCCATGAAAATAATACTTATAAATGCCTCGTTTATTTACACCTCTGCACCTTCCTAGAATTTCTTTTTTAATTTAAAAAATTGTAGGTATTGGAACAAATACACAGATAAGGCATTTAAAAATTATCCTTCTGGTTTAAACTGTTCACCAACTCAATTCTAGTTCTGTCCAGAAAGCTAGAATTTCTTATGTGAGAGAAGCTTTATCTACCAAACAGCCTCACAGCCTTGCACTGTAAGACTTGAATAGGCTAAAGTGACTCCATGCTAATCGGCCAGACTGTGCTTCTTCATATGCTAATTGCTACCTTGGTTAACAGCCCGCCCAGGGGCAAATGGTTTGACAAAAGGTGACCCTAGAACATTTCCTGCATAAGATAAGCAACGTGTTTGCAGTCTTGTTCTGTGAATTCCCTGACTCATTGTTTAGTAAAACCTTATAAAAAGTACCTCAGCCCCTGAGCAGTGGCCTCTCTGAGCCACCTGGCTCCGGGAGTACCGTCTGGCCAGACTAATAAAGGTCTTTTACCATCTAGGCTGGTGTGTTCCTTCCTGGGTTTCTCGGTTCTCTGTCGTGTTCCCGGAGCCTCGCTGGGTGTTAGGGCCCAGCTTCGTGGAGGCCTTTCGGCTGTTCACGCTCCGTGGAGTGGAAGTGAGACTTTAGGTCTTACAGCACTTTGACCCAGTGGTACCCCTTCATTAATCTGTCTTGGACCTGCATAAAGATTTATTTTCATGGTCATATTATTTAATAATGTCATGAACCAGTTTGTTTGTTTTTTGAGACAGGTCTCACTGTGTAGTTCAGGCTGACTTTGAACTCACTACGTTAGCCCAGGCTGTTCTCTTATCTCCACTGTAGTGATCCTCCTGCCCCTTCTGACTGCTGGGGTTACAGGCACACGCCATCTCGCCCAGCCTGCATGGCCATTATTGATAATGGTACACTGGAAGCAAAATAGATCCAAATATCCTACAATACAGGATTGCTTAAATGAATTATGATTCACACGATACACACATGGAAATACCTGGTAGCTATTACAATGGCAACATGGACTGAGCTTATAACTCTGTGGAAGAGTGCTTCATTAACTTTTGAAAGGCCCTGGGTTCATCCCCAGGCCTGGAAAGAAAGGAAAATAATTGAAGTCTATTTTTATTCCTTGGGAATTGTACAAGCTACATTAAGTTTTTAAAAATGGTAGGAAGCCCAGCATGGTGGCATATGCCTGTAATCTCCACTACTCTGGAGGCTGAGATGGGAGAATAAAAAATTCAAAGTCAATTTGGGCAATTTAAGGGGGAATTTGTCTCAGGATGAAATATAAAAGGCTGGGTATGTAGATCAGTGTTCCCAGTGCTGAAAAAAAAAACACAAAAACCCCACAAAGGCCCATCATGTAATTAAAATGAAGAAAGCCTTCCATGGAATGACAAAGATATAGCATGAACAAAGAACTACGATTAATGTAATTCCAGTACCTGATATCCAGAAAAACAAAGTTTGTTAAATTCACCTCAGTCTAATTTTTTGCTTTTTTTTTTTTTTTTTTTTTTGAGACAGACTCTCACTTAGTAGTCCAGGCCAGCCTTGAATTCACTGTGTAGCCCAGGGAGGACTTGGATTTACAGTGATCCTCCTGCCTCAGCTTCCCAAGTGCTTGGATTACAAGTGTGCACCACTATTTCTGGGTTAATTTTTGTATGTAAGATTTTTAAACCTATGAAGTTGATTATTTGACTTGTGTCCTGTAGTATTTTTGAAATGTTTTTAAGCATTTATATTAATTTACAATGTGTTCTGTTGAAAAAAATGACATTCTTTTAAAATTATAGGTAAGTAATTTTGATACACTCTTGGCCTTTCCTTTCTTGATTTTGAAACTGGCATGTTGCTGGTGAGTCTGTAAAGTGTTTTTTGTTTGGCCAACCTCTATTCTCCCTTGCTATACTTAAAGTCACTTATAGCCACAGAGGTTTTCTACTTTCACCTATTTAAGTACCGTTTGTGGTTATTTGCTAAGTAAATGTCATCTGGTTGACTTACTGTCTGATCTGCTCTGGCCTATTTCCTGTTCTTAGGAGTTGCCACTAGAGGGCAGCCTGGACTGGAGAGGAGAGAAGGAAAGCAGAGTTTTTATTTCTGGCTGACCCTTTCTAGCCTCTTTCCCACCCAGCCTGGTGACAGTGTAGAATTCCTGGGGCATATGACTGTCTGTGGGCAACTTGAAGGGAAATTCAGGTCTTCTGACATGACTGATACTCACATTTTTTGTTTTGCTTTTGATTTTTTGAGACAATCTCACTGTGTAGTTCGGGCTGCCT